TGTGGGATCTGATGGCCTTAACCACCACACCACCTAGCTGGCCTTGAATAAACATTTTAAGAAATTCTAAGGAGGGGCCAGCAGGTGGCATAGTGGTTAGGATCTTGGACTCCCACACGGCTGACTGCAGTTGGAGTCCTGGGCCCGGTGGCCTGAAACTCACTCTAGGCACATGTGTATATGTGCCCAAAATCCTGAGAGGAAAATGAAGAAGGGATTGTGGTGTGGCCATCCCCCGAGGCGGGGGAGATTTCTCACTTTCTGTTTCTCCAGTGAGCATATGTGCCATATAGCAAAAAAAGAGAAAGGAATGCTAAGGAGCCTCCCTTTTGCCTTCAGAGCAAAGGCCACATTCATTAAGTTGGCCCCCACCATCTGGACCCATCAGGTTGCAGGGGCCAGAGGTCTGAGGATAGCCCAAGGGTGGCCAGAGGCAGCTGAGGGGTGGTAGGCACCAGAAACACGTCATGCCTTCTCGCTTTGTCCCTCTTTAGCTAGGTCTGTATCAGACAGCTGAGCTACAGGCTCCTGAGCGTTTTCTTCGGCAGTTTCCCCTGCCCGTAGTGCTTTTCCTTTTTTCTTGCTTAACTGAAATTCGAATTCCAGTACTGTCTCTCCCCTTAGTTCCCTTTCTCCCAGAGCTGAGAGTCAGCTCCTGCTCTCTCCTCCCATGGCCCTCATCTCACTACCTTATCCTTCCTCCTTGCTGTTACAGTCATGAATCTGGTTACCAGCAGAGGCTCCTGAGGACATGTCTGTGTCTTCACCCCTTCTTAGCCTCACAGCCAAGCCTGGAGGCCCTCCTGGACAGTGAGGGGCTGTGAGGTTGCCGGGACTGTGTGTGCAGCTGCAGGGAGGGGCAGATATCCTTGTGACTTTTTGAGCCCTTGGAACAACTCGACTGACACGCAGAGGCTGAGCAGGACACACAGCTTATGGGGTAATGAGCTCTGCCCAAGCGGAGGTGGGGAGGGCAGAGAAGACCATGGGGCGGGCTGTCAAAGTGTGGTCCCCAGACCAGTAGCCTCATTGTCACCTTGGGAATGGGTCAGAAATGTAAATGGTCAGTTCTAGCCCACACCTACTGAATCAGAAACTCTAGGGTGGTAGCCCAGCGGTCTGGCCCGAGGAGCTCCTAGGTGATTCATATGCACTGTAGACTGCAAGAACCACTGCTATGGAGTTAGAGACCTTGCCCAAGATGGGAGCCAGATGGTGCAGTGAGCAGCACCTGGGCCGCAGGGTCAGCCCTCCTCGGTTCAAAGCCCTGCTCTGAAGTTAGGGCTGGCCTACCACGAGGGTTAGCAGTGGTCTCTAATCACCTGGGGTCTTTTCTTTTTTCTTTCTTTCTTTTTTTTTTTTTTTGCCATGTACATGCGTTAGGAACCGGTGG